ACATATGCATCTATGTCTGTAGTGCACATATGTATCTATATGTCTGTGGTGCACATATGCATCTATATGTCTATAATGCACATATGTATCTATATGTCTGTAGTGCACATATGCATCTATATGTCTGTGGTGCACATATGTATCTATATGTCTGTAGTGCACATATGCATCTATGTCTGTAGTGGCAAGGAAGGGACAGAGTGGCAGAAGAGGTGTTGAACCTCCTAGACCTGAGTTACAGGTGGTTGTCAGCACCCTGATATGGGTGCTGGGATCAAACTCTGATCCTCTGAAAGAACATTAATGGCTCTTAACAACTGAGTTATCTCTATAGCCCAAAACAAACATGGTTTTAACTCTATACAAACTACAAGCAACTAAGGGATGCTGAAAGCCAGAGAGACAGTCTTCCCAAGGGACAAGCGCACCAACTGGTTATCCAATACCAAATGGTCAGCCCTGAAAATGTACGTACAAGTAACATTATGCAAAGTGAGTAGGCTGGATTGAGGGATATATATGTATATATATGTATATATACATACATACATACACATGTACATTTATGCATGTAACAATTAATAAAGAGATCACGACTTTGAAAGAGCCGAGGAGACAGCAGTATATGTGAGGGTCTGAAGGTAGAAAAGGGAAAGGGGAAATTATGTAATTACATAATTACTCAAAAAGTAAAAGTAATTAAAAATATACAATATATAAAAATTAACTACAAAAGGTGGTTATCTCCTGCAATGGGTGACCAATCTTCCTGCTCTAAGTTTCCAGAACCTTATATATTTGTACTCAGTGTTGTGGGAGGTTCCGGAGTTTTTTGTTTGTGTGTTTGTTTTGAGAGACAGGGTCTCACTATGGAACCCTGAACGGCCTGGAACTCAGTATGTAACAGGCTAGCCCCAGTCTCACAGAGATCTTCCTGCCTCTGGACCTGAGTGCTGGGATTAAAGGCATAGGCAGCATGCCCACTCTCAATGGAATTTTTGAAGCAGTATTAATTTTAACTATTATCAGCTTATTTATAACTCTTATTCTATAGTCCTCTGTAAACAGTGGTCATGTATGTCATTTCCAACACAGGATAGCCTTGCTAGTAAATTAGTTTGAGCACTCTCCTGTGAATCTGAGCTCAGTCCCTTGTCCTCTACCACTGCCTACCGTTCTACAACCCCACCACCACTAGACAGTGGGCCAAGAGTGGTCTGTACCTGACTGCAAGTGTAGGATGCCTTCCATTTAGAAACATTTTTAAACTATTTATTTTTATTTTATGTGCTTTGGTGTTTCGTCTGCATTTATGTCTGTGGGAGGGTGTTGGATCCACTGGAACTAAAGTTACAGACAGTTGTGAGCTGTCATGTGGGTGCCGGGACTTGTACCTAGGAAGAACAGCCAGTGCTGTTAACTGCTGAACCGTATCTCCAGCCCCTAGAAACATTTTTTTCTTTTCTTTTTTTAATTTTTTAATCTTTACTTTATGTGCATTGATGTGAAGGTGTCAGATCCCCTGGAACTGGATTTTCAGACAGTTGTGAGTTGTCATGTGGGTGCTGGGAATTGAACCTGGGTCCTCTGGAAGAGCAGTCAGTGCTCTTAACCACTGAGCCATTTCTACAGCCCCCCCCCCCCCAGAAACATTTTTAATGACCTACTATTGACTAATGTTCCTCACTGTGAGCAACCTCAACCAGCGGCTCAACGTCACCCTTGATCTCAAGTTCAGTATGTTATTTAGTCTTGTTGTAACAGATGTTGACAAAACTATCTCTCTGAAGCTATAGCTATAATTATTATTACGAATATTTAAATTTTTAACAGATGTACATGAAAACACTTTTATAGAAAAATGCAAGTAGAGCCCTAACCTCTTCCTTCTTCATCCCATTGACTCGTCCTCTCCCACAATAAACTACCACTGGAACAAATCAGTGTGCTTTCATCTAGAGCTTGTGTATGCTGTTACATATGCATGGATTTTTATGCTCTGCACACGTAAATACGATGTGTCTTGTGTATAAATTTTTAAATGTTATGTTTCATTCAAGAAAATTGATAACCTAATATTATAACAACTTATTATAACATAATGAAAGTTATATGAGAGCTACTCAGGAATCATCACAAAACCAACCTCCCTGATTATAATGCATAATAAGGAATTCTAAAAACATAGGATGGTTAAAATTCTTTTGAGTGTTCATATTCCTCTGTATTATCAAC